ACGCGCCCTTGTTTGGATGCAGCACCCGCCGCACTCGGTCGGCTGGTAACTGGGGAAACCGGAATATGGCCAAAAAGAGATATAGGGAAACGGTGAGGGCGGTTGTCCACACCGGGCTCCGGGTGGCGAGCAGTACCACCACGAAGACGAATGAGTATAATGTGACTTCATCTCCCAGCGGCAGCATCGTCGTCCTTTATGGTTCTTCTGGGCGCGTTTGGACCTCTCCTGTTTCTGTTTCTGTTCCTGTTTCCGTTTCTGTTTCTGCTGCAGCTGCTTCTTCTTGTGTTTTACTAGCGACCCACTTCTGGTCTGTTAGGTCAACGTGTCACAACGGCCGCCATATTTCCAGGGGCGATGTTGTGTCTCCTAATGCATATATATGTATGAGGGCAGGAGGTCTATCCACACTAAAATCAAAATAACTCGATGAATTTACAGCCACTTTTCCAGATTTTTGGTTTGCCACAAACCCCGGGGATGTAATTATGTTGTAGGATGCTTAGTTAAATTAAGGATGTAGATTTTCGTATCAAAACGCTTCATCTTTTGCAGACTGTAATAAATTTTTTTTAGATAATATACAACGTTCACTTAGTAATTATTAAAAAGCAACGATCCATCCTCCCCTCTGTATTGTAAAATGGCTGCCATAATACATAATTACAACAAACAAAAATTAAATGATTAAATGTATGTTTTGTCAGGCCACAGAATTATCTTATTTACATTTCAAGTGAAATGTTCATATTTTCCTAATTTATGTTTATTTCACTTTATTTACATACAATATACGCAGAATGCATGAGAAGCCTTGTGCAGAGTTGCAGCTTAACAGTTATATACACCAGTCTCAGTTGTGTGCAACTGCATCAAGAGGCGCATTTAACTTATAAAAACAATTTGCCAGTGGATCAAACTGTGCACATATGGTGTGGAATGGTCATTTTTCTTCAACTGATCGTTAGCTGCCTTAAATTAACGTTAAAATAGTATCAACAGTGTCATTATGTTATCTTAAAAAAGGATTAGTAAACTTAGTTACTGAAATATATTAAATTCATCACGTTCGTAAAGGTCAAATATTGTAAGACAATATTCCCTGCTGTTTGCATCTGGCATTTTTAGATTACAACATCCACAGGCAGCGCAATACTGCCGCATTTTCCACTACTAAATCTAGCCATAAGGGCCCGGTGCCCTTGGCAATATGGTGGCGGATGATACGCATCTCAGAAGCCTCTGTGCGCGATCTCGGTCGGAAGTGATGAACAGTAATAGCTTTCATGCTGTAATGTGGTGTTTACTTGAAAGGGAAGGTTCACGTTTTAAGACTGTACCGGTGCATTTAGGACAACTCCAACAGCAGCAGCGCAGGTGGAAATGAGAAGGATACAACTCTCTATAAAATATTGAGTAAACTTACGGGATCATAGTCAAAATCATTCAGCAAAGGACATCTTAAAACCCTGCTGGGAAAAGGAGAAGAGAAACAAAAAGTGTTGGATGGATAGTGGAACACAAAGCAGCAGAACTAGAAATGGATACAACCTTGGATTATTCCTGATGCAACAGTAGACTTTACATTACTGGAAAACAGGAGCAAAGATGGGTTTATGTTTGATTCACATAGTATACATGTCTATAAGGATAGTTTATTGCAGTTACAATCAGATCTACACACACACACATCAAATAACGCAGCTGATAAAATAGGAGTGTTCCAGAGTTTCTTATGTAGGGGAAAGAATCAGCAAAGGACTGCAATACTCCTAGTATTACGTTGGACAGAGGCTGCAAGACCGCTGAGGACACTTGTTTGTTCAGATTCAGGTTCATCACTAGTCAGTTTAAATTAGGGATACAGTTATTCAGGTAGCAGACCAGACATCTTAATAGAAATAGGCCTACTTCAAGCAATGCACCGAATTCAAATGCTGGAACAAACTTATAATTTTTATGAGTACTACCACATATTGAGATAAAGAAAAATGAAACAGAAGAGAATTGCAAAGGCAGGCACAAAAATAATGAACAGTAAGCAGAAGTCAACTTATTTACATTTCAAGTGAAATGTTCATATTTTCCTAATTTATGTTTATTTCACTTTATTTACATACAATATACGCAGAATGCATGAGAAGCCTTGTGCAAAGTTGCAGCTTAACAGTTATATATTCTGATAAACCAGTCTCAGTTGTGTGCAACAGAAGCAAGAGGCGCATTTAACTTATAAAAACAATTTGCCAGTGGATCAAACTGTGCACATATGGTGTGGAATGGTCATTTTTCTTCAACTGATCGTTAGCTGCCTTAAATTAACGTTAAAATAGTATCAACAGTGTCATTATGTTAACTTAAAAGAAGGATTAGTAAACTTAGTTACTGAAATATATTAAATTCATCACGTTCGTAAAGGTCAAATATTGTAAGACAATATTCCCTGCTGTTTGCATCTGGCATTTTTAGATTACAACATCCACAGGCAGCGCAATACTGCCGCATTTTCCACTACTAAATCTAGCCATAAGGGCCCGGTGCCCTTGGCAATATGGTGGCGGATGATACGCATCTCAGAAGCCTCTGTGCGCGATCTCGGTCGGAAGTGATGAACAGTAATAGCTTTCATGCTGTAATGTGGTGTTTACTTGAAAGGGAAGGTTCACGTTTTAAGACTGTACCGGTGCATTTAGGACAACTCCAACAGCAGCAGCGCAGGTGGAAATGAGAAGGATACAACTCTCTATAAAATATTGAGTAAACTTACGGGATCATAGTCAAAATCATTCAGCAAAGGACATCTTAAAACCCTGCTGGGAAAAGGAGAAGAGAAACAAAAAGTGTTGGATGGATAGTGGAACACAAAGCAGCAGAACTAGAAATGGATACAACCTTGGATTATTCCTGATGCAACAGTAGACTTTACATTACTGGAAAACAGGAGCAAAGATGGGTTTATGTTTGATTCACATAGTATACATGTCTATAAGGATAGTTTATTGCAGTTACAATCAGATCTACACACACACACATCAAATAACGCAGCTGATAAAATAGGAGTGTTCCAGAGTTTCTTATGTAGGGGAAAGAATCAGCAAAGGACTGCAATACTCCTAGTATTACGTTGGACAGAGGCTGCAAGACCGCTGAGGACACTTGTTTGTTCAGATTCAGGTTCATCACTAGTCAGTTTAAATTAGGGATACAGTTATTCAGGTAGCAGACCAGACATCTTAATAGAAATAGGCCTACTTCAAGCAATGCACCGAATTCAAATGCTGGAACAAACTTATAATTTTTATGAGTACTACCACATATTGAGATAAAAGAAAATGAAACAGAAGAGAATTGCAAAGGCAGGCACAAAAATAATGAACAGTAAGCAGAAGTCAAGAGCATTATAAAGCAGAGGCTGAAGGTGAAGTGGCAGAAGCAATTGGAGGAAGAAAGGAAATGGTGGTTTTATGATTTAATATGATTTCGCTTTTTTTTTCATTTTAAGAATGTTGTTAATACTCGACTCATGAGCCACACACTTTACCAGTTGGTGGCGTTCAAGCACTAATTTATTATTGTCCCACACTCCAGCCCAGCAGGTGGCGGTAATGTACCTTAAGTTGGCTTGCAAACCGCCAATAAGCATCATTGAATAAGGAAGAAGAAACACACCAATTCATCGTTTGCCAATCACAGAAGACGAATTGTTGATCATATCCGGGTCAAAGTGCGTACTTTACTTCATGTTAGCTAGTCTAGCCAACAGTTAGCACTCTTCTCTAGTCTTTGTTTTTGATTTGTTTCTTAATTCGAAAAAGAAGCCTATTGTTTTGTGTTTGTCTTTTTCTTATGCTGAGGTTGTCAGCGACCATGGTGAGCATCTTTCTTTATTGCCTTCACTGATTTGCACTTGTTAGTCGTTGTTAGCCGCATAAGCTAACTACTATTTAAACGGACTGTGTAACAGCTGTGTCAGGAGTAGTTTAGCTTTAATTTGTTTAACTTAGGGCTATTGTTTCTACTCTCTACTTCTTATGACGAAGATGCTTTATTTGCTTATATTTTCAAATAGGCTGCAAAGAGGTTTTTCTCCTGGGGGACTGAAAAGTGTTGCACAAATCGCATATCAAGTACAACTACAGCAATGCTATTGTTATACAAAGGGTGGCCAGTATAATAGGAACACCTCTACAATGTTGTGCATGTGTAATTCTGTCCAATAGCCCTATACCGAGTATTTCTTGAGACGTTTAAACTTTGTAGGAGCGGTTGTTGCATTGCATTACTTACTTTCTAAAGGTGACTCAACTTGTCACCTTGGGCTATGGGAAACTGTGATTTAAATTATTTTGTCCACTTCTGCATGTATGTCGAGCTCATCTTAAAATTTGTATTTGTGATGTTTTGTTTTTTTTGTTTTTTTTTAGATCAGGTCAGTGCTGCTGCACAGGTTAACCTCCCACGTTCTGCTCAGCGCCAGAGGATCGTGTCTATTCACATGTCGGATACCTTATGGTGTGCAGGCTTATTCACCAAGTCAAACACCTATCCAGCAGCGCTTCCATGGACCCCTTATACCTAAAATCACAGCTCTAGTTAGGTACTGCGACCTGTCCACTCAGAAGTACACCCTGATTTACACCTTCCGACACATTAAGCTCCTCCGAGCTGTGTCTAGACTTAAACTGCTCCAGACTGCAATCACTGTAGTCATCCTGCCCCCGGTGTACATCCTCTACTTCCAGGGAGAAGTCTCCTTCTTTCTCGTTAGTTATACAACAGGGTTAGCGTTATTTGCTGGTGTCATGCTGTACGCTGCTAGTCACTTCTTCAGGAGAGTTGTGGGAATGTTGTACCTGGACCCATCCCAGACTACACTCAAAGTGTCCCACCTCACCTTCTGGGGCAGACGCCGTGATATCTACCTGCCTGTGTCAGATGTTATGACCATCGGGGATACAGGGGACTCTGTGAAAGAGACAATATTGAAACTGAAGCGGTACAGCAGCCCAGAGACAATGTATTTCTCAACTCATTTTGGATGTGTAGTGGACAGTCAGGGTTTTGATAAGGTGTTTGGAAATTTTAAACGATGAGTAAAACGTATATGGACTTGAGATGAATGGTATGAGAGGCACCCTATCTTTATGAAATATGGTATCGAGAGTTAAATCTTATACTGAGATCTACACACTAGCTAGTTTTGTTTCTGTTGCGCTGACTGTTACCTGTCTGCTGTGTCCACTGTGAATGACAGTCTAATAAATATTTTAGTGAGGTGATTGAAAAGCAAGTGAGTGTATTTGTAGACCTCTGCAGGGTTATGGCCTTTAAAGTGTAAGAACATGTCAAGTAATCACTGTTGGCAGTAGTATGTTGAGTATTCATATTATTTTCATATGGTAGCAAGTTACTGTGTAAAGCAGAAAAAAGTCAAAGTCTGCTGAATGCAAGTGAGATTGTCCTAATTTTTTTATAAGAGTACTTATTAATGCCTTCACAAAAATGCAAACAACATGTATTTAAACATTATATTGAAGATGTATCATTTTGGAGTTCAGATGAACATCCATTACTGAGAAATGTTCTGATTTGCAGTGGAAGAAGTACTAAGAAATTGACTTTTGCTGTTGAGACTGAACAAATTTAAACTATTTCAAACACAGTTGGGCACAATGCACAGTACGGTCTGCAGAACTTCCAACCTGTTGAAGATATTTGTGTATATCGAGCCCTAAAACAAATAACATCTGTCAGCACCTTGCCGATATCACATTCAGCATGTTTTTTGGTTTAAACCAATTTGTTTAACACATTTGGACACAATAAATTGAATGGGAAACTGTTCAAATGTTTGACTGCTGGTGTACTTGGGATTTGCATATAAAAAGGTTGGAATATTTTACTGTACTGGCACAAAACATTTCTTCACTTTGCCTCAGGAAAATAAGACTCAGGATAAGATTTGGGATTCAATTACAGACTAAATTGTCTTGATAAGAGTAGATTTTGTACACTGAAAAATGTATTGCATTTTAGAATGGGATCATATAGTGTATGAATAATCATATACTGCAAATTGGTAACTATAGCTCCTCTTCAATAACTGTGCATGTCCCATTGACATTAAAAGAACCATTTCTTTTACTGAAATTGTGCTGACTAAGACAAAGATCCATTTGGATACAAGAGGAGATCCTTAGAGAGCTGTTCGCTGGGCCCCTGCTGCCTCATTTGGCCAACCTTCAACTCTGGATCCACCAAGGATTATAACAGTCGAGCTAAGTGTTCTTCTGGCCTGCTGGCTCCTGTCCCCTTAGTACCTCCAAAGGCTTGGAAGCACAGTTTGTACTGTAGTATTGTATTTGGACCTCTAGGTGTCACCAGACCCCATGTAATGTGCTTTGATTTAGCGGATGAGAACAGTGTCAACCCAGGTTGACAATGAAGATGGAGTAGTAGGCTACTCTCGGGATTATTTTTCAGCCAGAGGTTACTGTCTTTGCCTACTATATGATTATTACAGTATGTGTCAGATCAATATATAACTTCACCAACCACAAAGTTAACCACCACCATCTTCAACCACCAAGTTATATCACACCATTCTTTGCTTTTCACTGCTCGTTCAGTATGATGCCATTTCTTTGCGTTTCACTGCTCGTTCAGTATGATGCCATAAGACAGAAACATGTCCTGTGCATGGTCATTGTCATATATTTTTGATGGTGTGTCCTCCTTTGACCTGATGGCCACATTGCTGTGTTGTGCTTGTTCTACATCTCTGCCTGAACCAACCAATAGGCATTTATAACTTTGTTAAAGAACAGCCTCAGTTCACCTTTGAGCTCCCAGAAGAACACTTGAGAACATGAACAAAGAAACAAAGGTATTGAAAAAGATTCTGGCAGCTTCGAGGGCTTCTTTCATGTATTAAAAGGCCCTGGAGAGCCCTGCTCCGATGTAGGAAAGCCCCACTTCTACATGTTGCTGTCCTGCTCCAAAGCATCCAGCTACAGACCCACCTCTGTTTGTTTTTGTCATTGTTAATAACCGAGACAAGCTTCCTATGATCAACAATATTGCATTGACCTCAACTCCATTGCTGCACGAATGATTTTGCGTTTATATTCAACACAATTTCCTGTGTTTATGAATATTTTGGCCGCTTCTCTTTGACTCATTAGTCTTTAACAATATATAGGAAGGCTCCAGCAGCTTTTTAGAACTGGTGTGTAATACTCCTAAGCATGCCTGACTGCTTGTGTATTCCCAGAGGCCATTTATCACAGTGCAGCTTGGATACCATCATGTTTGTATCATTCCTTATAAATGCCAAATTAGGGCCATTGCTCCCTGGGGTTGTCTGACACTGCTATGAAGGCTCCAGCCATGCCAGATCTTGGTAGTCATACATCTATCATTTGGGTAGTTTGTTCTCTTGCATTGTTTGCCATATCCCAGATTGTTTTTGGCACAGTATTTTGGATCTTTATACAAAAGGGGAAACCTTCCTGTATGTGAAGGATTTCCTCTTGTTTTTAGTAATCAAAATGACTCAGAGTAAAATATTCCAGAGCTGGTTTCATTTTGGCTTGATGCAAAATTTAGATCACTAGGTTTTTGACCTTTTAACCACTAGTGTGGGGGCTTTCATATTTTGTGATTTTTCTGGAGTATGACTTTGACCAGGTATACAAAATGAATATGAATGTATCCACAGTATGCCTCTTATCAGAAGGCTTTTATTTACAGCTCTGTTTAGTTTGGCACATATACAGTATGTAGCAATACAAATGTGTGTTTATAACATTTCTCTGTTAGTTGATATTTAAGGAATAATTAGACAGTTTAGAAAATAAGCTTCCTTGCTGAGAGTTCGAAGAGAAGGTGGTTCCACTCTCATATCTGTGTGAAGCTAAAGACAAGGTGATTATCTTGGCTTAGCATTAACAACAAGGGGGAAACTGCTTCTCCATCCAAAGTTCAAAAATATAAACCAACAACTTTAAAGTGCACTAATAAGCAGGTTAGATCTTGTTTGTTTAGATTAAAAAAATGTCTAACTCACCATAAAACCGCAGCACGTCATTCTGTTAGTGTAGGGTTTGGACTATAATGCTAACATATTAGCATGCTGATTGGGCTCATGTGCAACTGCTCGACGCAGTAATTAATCATTTGGCCACCACCAATGTGTTTTTATTAGTATATTATATACTAAAATATAGTATATAATCTATCTATATATAACCTATATAATCTTCCTTTTTCTGCGTTCTTGCGAGCTGCTATTTTACTACACACACAGCCAAGGAACTCACAGAAACACTGCCAATCCGTAACTATACACCTCCCGCCCAGTGGAGCATTATGTGGGATCCCGCCAGGTGCTTTTCCCCTTTGGCATTGTGAGGTACCCTGCCAAGTGTCTCTCTGCTCCCAGTGCTACAGTGTTATACATAGCTAATTAATGGTTCATAGTATTTAATAACTGATGGGCTTGGATCCCAAATATTAAGCTAGTGAAGGAAATGTCTGGACTCTGCACCTGCTGATTTTTTCACTTACATTTTGTCACACTCTGTGCGGGACTTTGGAATTATGACGGATAGATTACTGAGGTTTAATGTTTGAGTGGCAGAAATAAAAACATTAACACATGCAAAGGTCAGATTTATTCTGCACCTCCTGCAGGATACAACCCTGTCAGTTTGCATAGGCTGGCAGCTACTGGCCACATTTTTCTGATTTATTGCTACTGAATTTAAAGAGCTTTGTGTCTCTGGTGGGTTTTTAAGGATGGGTTCCTGAACTCTGGTACCATAAATCCTGGTGGCTGTGGTGGCCTGCAAAGAGTGTGCTTAACCCTACATCAGGTTTATAATTAGAAACATATCTCTTTGCAATTGCCAGCAGGAAACAGCCTGGGCCTCCTGGTGTGCAAGGCCGCGGGCTAACAAAGAGAGGAAAGTGTGCATATGGGGCAGGCATGCAATGTGATCACAGTCTGCTTTGGGTGCAGCGATCACCTCATTAGAATGTGCAGGTGGATGGGAGGGCAGGATGGAGAAAACTTGTAAGACAAGAGAAACGAATAGTCATATGTTTATTGTATGTTTCAGTTATGTATCACCGAGCTACAGACAAAGCTGCAGGTTGAGTCATTGTGTAGCAGTGGATCTGACTCATGCATGCATTTAATTTTTATATCTAAACAGACTGGGCACAGAATTCTGATTATAGAGTTGTTTAACTGTATATTCAGCAGTCAAAATAAGGCAAGACAAGATTTTTTTTTATAGTACATTTTCATACACAAAGACAATTCAAAGTGCTTAACACAATGTGCACAAATAGATAAAATGTTAAAATGGATATTACATTAAAACAATAAATGCAAATAAAAAGCAGAAATTACATGACGGCACAAAGTAGCAACATGAAAGTATACGTACACAGTACCTTTAATATCGCTCTGGCAGACTGCAGATTCTTACTCATCTCATTAAACTTTGTACCCCTTTTCTCTAAACCTATTTGAGTGCTTTAACACCTTCTGGAAATTTGACACACCAGTGTCTATAATGCTAAATAAAACATATGCACTTCTTTTGTTTGTAACCAAGAAAGTTCTTGTCATGAGAACGACCTTGCTCTGCTAAACTTGGCAACGTACGAATGTAGGATATTTGCTTTTTTACCCCCTAACATTTACTGATCCCCTTCATATGTGTGATCCGCTATGTCTCCAAGGAAATCTTAAACATATGGAGGTGGGATGAACCTTAAGCCTGATTAGAAACCTTACATGTTAGTGATGGGAAATCCTATTTGGTTAGGGGAAACAATTACATATTGTTGAAAGCCACAAAAGACAGGAAATCCAATTCATCCATGTGTTAGTAGGGATCAGTTTGTACACCCACTTCTATATCCAACTTTTTCATAAGATGCATCAGTTCTGTCTGTTACTCTGACCACCACGCAACTGGCTTCAACACAGTTTCACTGTTACTTGGATTGATGAAAATAATGAAAATGCAAAACATGAGCTTTTGGTGTTATCTTAAAATATTTACCACACTGGTAAGATACCAGCAAAAGCTCCTGCATTAGCAGACCATGAGGTCAAACTGTACAACTATTAAAAAGATAGGTAACTAAGCAAGCAAAGCATGAGCAGACAGATCAAGCATATTCTATGATAAAATTAAACAGGGCTGCTTCTCTTTTCTGTCTCTGTGCAAAGGAAAGTGACTGACAATAGATTCTGTCAAATTCTTGGATGAACTATGGCTTCCTAAACCACCCATAAGCAATCAGCAGAGCTAATGAAAAGTGAAAGATTGTTTTCTTTTAAAGGACTGAAGGAAGGAAGACCGATGCAGATGTTCTTTGTGCGGCACCATCAGCTTCACGCCATCTTCATCAATAGTTTTTATGAGGCGTTGAACCCTACCACCCTGGCAACAGAGGCCAAGGCCACACAAAGCCCTCACCAGTGGGATGTGTTTGAAAACAAAACGAGCTCAGGATTCACTAGTTCACCCTATGTTTCTTCCAGTAGAGAAGACGTGTCGTGGGGTAACACAGGATGAGGCTGGGGGAATCTGACAATAGACAATGGATAATCTGCATGACAACATCCCTTGTGTTCTGGGGTGAAATGTGTTCTAGTTGGATTCACAGAGACCAAACATTCCCTCCTTTGAACCAGACCCAAATTTTCTTTTCCTTTTTGTGTTGTTTTTTTTAATAACAGCGTTTTTTCACCAAGAAATCCAGACTAAAAATGCTCTATTTTTGTGTCTGCACATTTAGACAGCATTGAAAGGGCAATTCCCTGTTTGGATGCAGTATTCCCAAGTCACACTAGATTGGATAGATGCTCTCTTTGTCCTTATAAGGTTATTTAAGTGCCCCAAACACATATAATAGGGGACCTCTATGAAACACTTAGTATTACCCCCCCCACCCAAGGAGCCCAGCGAAGTTCACAGATTAACGTCTGCACCCTTTTGACATGCCGGGCGTACTTCTCCATTTGGAGTCAAATCTTTCTTATACAATTTTTCTCCTTAAAATAACTGAATCCAGCTCTCAGGGCCCGTTCTCACACCGGACCT